CTTTCTCCTCCAACAAGGAGCTTAGATTTATTGAGTAACACCCATCACAATGCTCCCAAAGCACTCCCATTTCCTCTTTAACTTCTCCTTTGTGCTCTGCTTCCCCTATCTGTTCATCACTCATTTCCCCAATCAGAACCTGTGACTTGTAAATCTAGATTCCTCAGAGGCTTGTGGATTTTATATTTGTAAGTGAAATATTGCTTTTCTCTTTCCTTGATATCCTTTGTAGTTTAGAGCAATATCCTTTTTGTATAGACACAGGAAGACAGTTGATGCTATGGTCTTGTAACTTGGGAAATAACTGACTCCAAATAATATTTACTCCTGGACATTCATCATATTTACTTGACTTAAGCCTTAGCTGCCCTTAGTTCCTAGCACCCCATAAGGAGGGTCCTGACAAAGGTACTTGGATGGACCCAGGGCAAGCTGTAAGTTACCCTGGCACTGAAAAGGGACAGGCCAAGCGCCATAAAACTTATAGTAAGTTAAGAGCACAGCCATCAACGAACCCTGCCATAACCCATATAGAAGTAACTGGATAAGGACCCTGCTGGGGTTAGGAACAACTAACCTGGCTTGAGGACTGAAGTCTTGGATATATAATGAGATGTCCCCAGGAGAGTCACCCTTTAAGCTTAATATATCTCTTACTCTGTCAATACAAAATGACTAGAAATATCATAAAGAAGTAAATTTAAGATGACTGTTTAAATGAATTTGGACAAGAAAAGGAGAAATAAACCCTTGGTTGAAATTCCGCCCTTGGGTAGATCTAGCAGGATGGGATTTTGTCCTAGCTTCCCAGAAGGAAGGGCTTTTCATATGTTGATTGTGCTACCTCACTGATGTGTAATTGCTACCCACAATCTTTGAGTTTTTGCTCTTAATTAATGCTGGGAGACGGGAATGGGGGAGAGTGGAACTGGATGGAGAGTGAGACTGGGATGAGAGGCAGTGTGAGTCTGGGATGGGGATGGAGATTGGAATAAATGGCAACTGATCACCAACCAGCCTGGTGGCCCTGCTTCTTCCCTCACGTGTCCATTAGTGGCAGCTGGCCCAGGTGGGGAAGCAGCCCATGGCCACAGAATGCATTCAGACTCACACTTTTGGACACACATCCTGAGGTTCCTGCATCCCAGCTTGTGATGCATAATTCTCCCCTTTTATTTCTACTCTGTTTAAAAGTTGCTCTACATCCCAACTCACAATATCTAATTTCCTTCCTATGCTTAATGGGGCTCTCCTCTCTCCCACCAGTCTGAAGGTGAAACTAGTTTTATTTCACTGTATTCTCCTTGAAAGTCTTTCTGTAGAAAAGACAATCAACTGAAGACAACCAACCTGGGTGAAAAGGAGGCCAGGAACAACCTCCCTGTTCTGCGAGAAGCATGACCTTGCCTCTGCCCTAGACCACAGCACCCACAAATTCTAGCATTACCAGGTTGATGGGTCTCAGGTGCAGCCCTGAGGCTCCCAGCTCTCTGTGGCCACAGCAAACAAGGGAAACTGGGCGACTATGAAAGCAGGCACAAAGTAGTCACTGTTCAAAAGGTCACCCACTCTTTCCCACTCACCCTTTTTGAATAAACTGTTTGTTAGACTTATATGAGAAACTTCATTTGGGGCCTGGAGTTTCTTAATACATCTCACAAAGGCCCCATAAGATGATACATCAAGTTAGTTATCGTCATCTTTATCATAAACTTTATAACAGAAACAACATGAGCTTATCTGATAATATGATAAAATCTGATAACCTAGATAGAATAAGGTCTCATGTCTACATTTTTATATCCAGAGCTAATAACACAGAATACATGCCTATTTTAATTAAATCAACAAACTTTAGCTTTTATTTTCTGAGATTATGTGAAAGACAAAAGCATTTCGGTTAAATTATGAATTAACATGTCAACTTTGAGACAAATACTACTCTTTTACAAATTAAACCTGGCAGTTTCATATGGAGTTAAAAAGAAACAGACACATAAACATAGACACAAATATATTAGAACTTTTATTTTAAAGTTTTAGTCATGTTTTGCTATAATTCACTGTTATAAATGAGCAATTGGATCCAAATTGTGTTCTGTGTGTTCAAGTAAGATTTACTTAGTGGGATGGTTAAATGTTTGTGGGCAAGATATTAAATATTTACCATCAGTCTACTTTTCAAAATGTTTTTTTCTCCCCTCAGTGTGATGTAATATATTTGTCCTTGACAAGCAGTCCCTTGAAAGCTGTGGAGGGGAACTTTTAAGTGCCTTCAAAATCTTTAACCCTACTTTTCCAATTTTTCCCCTTTTGTCCCTTAGTTATTCTTGAGGATTACATTTCAAAGACCAGGAACCTCCTATGAACTTTTTTTTCCCCAGCGACTTTACTTTTCAAATCCATCTGATTCTTTTAATTTCTGAGTTTGCTGATATTCCCTTTTTTAAGTCAATGCCATCAGGCTTTATTTCCACTTGGCTTTCTTCAGTCCTCTGAACATACCTGTGATAGTTGGCTTGAAGGGCTGACCTCAGTCCAAAGTCTAGGACTCTCAAAGATCAATTCTATTGCTTTCTTTTTATATTCTCTAGAGTCTGAAGGCCTGGATAAAGCATAACAAAAATTTTCGAATGCCAGATACTTTCCCCCCATAAGTTTACAATTTTGTTTGTGGTTGGGGGACTGTAGGTCTCTTCTTTGCCCGGGACACTAAGTGATACTTGGACAACCAGCTAGTGGCTAAGCAGAAGGGTGTGAAGATGATGCAGTGTCTGCACAGGAACCACCAGGACCATTCCAGCAGTGTCCAGGATCCCCCAAGTGAGCCCATGGGTGCCACAGTCTGGAACTGAATTGGACTAATGTCAATACCCTAATTGCTGTAGTTGAGTTTACAATTTAACCTTTTACAAGTATATTCTAAGGAAAAGAGTCTTAATTATTGCTTCTTTATTAACCCCAGAATATTTGCCTTTAGGTAAGACACTTCTCATCACTTTTACAAAGGCTTGGAAAAACTCTGATATCTCTGATGGTGGGTGCCCCATAGCAAGATTATATGTCTTTCTGCTGCCTATGAGAACAACACCCTTTAGCAGCCAACCAAGGTGGCTTTGGTTGGCACTGTGGGTCCTTTTGCCTTTTTTCTAAGTTTCTGAAAGTGGAGGTCAAAGGATTTATTTAATTAGAAGGTCTCTGCAAGCCATGGGACATAAACCATTTACAATGCCATTCCCTAAGGCTATTAGAGTTCTTTGCTTTTATCTCAATTTGATATTTCCTAAAACAACTATTTAGATAGAGAGCTGAAAAAAATCAATAAATTTTGCAACATCAACAACAACAAAAGTCCTGAGTTTGGGGGTATAGTTGAGTGATAGAAACGGCTTACCTTACATGCGTGAGATTCAGAGTTCAATCCCCATCACAACAACAACAACAAAATTTTAATTAAAAATACATCCTTGTGGTAACCCTCAAGTTCAAATTTATGTGACTCAAACCCAATAACCCTTTTAACCATAGGGGACTGGAATAATAGCACAGTGGGTAGGGGCATTTGCCTTGCATGGAGCCGACCCAGGTTCTATTCCCAACATCCCGGATGGTTCCCTGAGCACCTCCAGGGCTAATTCCTGAGTGCATGAGCCAGGAATAACCCCTGTGCATTACCAGGTGTGACCCAAAAAACAAACAAACAAACAAAAAAGTTAAGTCATCATTAAAAAAAAAAATTAACCATGGATGCAAGAGGCATTTCCAAAATGGAACCAAGGATGCAACCCTTGCCAGACCTGGGAAAGTTAACTCCCAGAGCTGACCCACAAAAGGACAGACTATGAGGAGACCATTTTTCCCTAACAATTGCTCCAAAACACAGAAACTCTCCCATTTTCTCCCCTTTTGAACAAAGTAGGTCCCTTTGTTTTTTAGATCCCATCAGTCAGACAGAAGACAAAAGACAAACAGTGATCATGTCCGTGAAGTAACAAGCATGCTTGTTCATGCCAGATAACCAGGCTCTCCACATCCAAGGAACCACTGGACCAAAAACATTCACCTGAAGTCAAAATTTTGTAAAAGGGGGAGAGACACTGTCACCAGTCTGCAGCAGGGGGAGGTCTGGGAGTGACCGTGCTGGAGACGGGGGGCCCCCAGGGCTGGTCAGAGCTTCTGGGTCTGCAGCAGCAGGGGGACTCACAGTGTCACCAGCTGATCAGCTCACCCAGGCTACATGGGAGCTTCCTCTCTCCTCCAATTTAATAAAATTAATTTGACAGAAGATGTCTGACGTGGGAGAACGTTGATTTGTAGTACAGGAAACTCACACAGACAGTAGAAGCAAGTTACGGCATCCTGCGCAAGGACTGGCTCAAGAATGGGAGTCCCAGAGCGGGGAGGGAACTCACAAAATGACCAGAGCACATGGCTGGTGATTAGATGTTTGTTCTGTCATTCAAATGAGCCACAAAATTTTATTTCTACTAATGGTTCTTATAATGGGCAAGATCTCTTATTTAAATTTTCCAGGGAGCTAAAGGAAAGGTAGAAATTTCCTCTTTAACCTGAACTGGTCTGTAGAATTGACCCATCTGTGGGGAGGGAGTGAGGGTTACTTAAGATGGGTGTGGGGCTCAGGGGACTAGGATTGGAGGTGCTGGACAGTGGTGGAGGGAAGCAGACCCTGTGGAGGGTGTGGTATTAAAATGCCATATGCATAAAACCCTGCCATTAACAGCTTTCTAAATCACAGTGCCTAAAATTAAAATAAATTTTCTTTTGAACATGTATGATCTTGATTGCCATTAGCTCAAATGATTCATAGACCCAAGTGTATCTTGAGAAGATCAATTCTTAGTATTTCATATTATCTTCCAGATATATGTGGTGCGCACATGTCTAGTGTGGTGCCAGTGTGTGTAAGTGGTCAGTAGGAACTCCCTGTGAAGGTGTGGTATGTGTGAGAACTGCTTTCAATGGATGAAGCAACCGTCGGTATGTTAAGAGTAGGTAAGGGGTCATACAAATAGCTCAAGAGGCTGAACCAAGTGCACTGTTTCTGGGAGCCCTGGGCTAGGTCTCATGGTCCCCTGAGCACCATTGGATTTGAACAAAACAAAAAAGCAAAGCAAGATAACCAGAAGAAACAATTAGCATGGTGCAGTAAGACATAATAACGATAAAAACAAAACCTATGTATTTCATCTGGGTTTTTGTCAAGCAGCAATATGTCTGCTTCATTATTTTTTTTTTTAATAGATTATCACTTGCTGGGCAGCTATTGCCTGGACAGCAAACGCTCCCTTGTCCATTGAAGAGGTTGAAGTCGATCCACCAAAAGCTGGTGAGGTTCGAATTAAGGTAAATATAAATGAGACTTTCAGCATGTGTGAATGTGTCTACAAAAATTTACACTGTTGGAAGAATAAATGGCATTTTCTAATTAAATATAATTAAGATTCTTTCCAATTTACACATATATGTACTTAACCACATATAATTGTGAAAACATTTTATTTTGTTGAGGTGTTACAAATATTAGATGCATAAGGCTGAAATGCCATTGAGTGTTTTAGATACACTGTTGTTTTAAAATGCTTTGAGGGCTGGAGTAATAGCACAGCGGGTAGGGCGTTTGCCTTGCACGCGGCTGACTCGGGTTCAATTCTCAGCATCTCATATGGTCCCCCGAGCACTGCCAGGAGTAATTCCTGAGTACAGAGCCAGGAGTAACCCCTGAGCATTGCAGGTGTGACCCAAAAAAGCAAAAAAATAAAAAATAAATAAAATAAAATAAAATACTTTGGGGCTGGAGCGATAGCACAGCGGTAGGGTGTTTGCCTTGCGTGCAGCCAGTCCAGCCTGAGATGGGTTCGATTCCTCCACCCCTCTTGGAGAGCCCAGAAAGCTACTGAGAGTATCTTGCCCACACAGCAAAACCTGGCAAGCTACCCGTGACGTATTCAATATGCCAAACACAGTAACAAGAAGTCTCAAAACAGAGATGTTACTGGGCCCACTCAAGCAAATCGATGAACAATGGGAAGACAGTGACAGTGACAAAATGCTTTGAAAGTCAACAAAGTCAACTGTTGACTCACAAACTATTTGTCACAATTAAACAGTTTCTCTGATACTCAGGTTGTATATAGAGCATTCTATTACTAGTAGTCATGGCTGAGAATACAGGGCCCAATCCCCCTGACCAACCGTCCTCCTTCCCCACACTCGCTGTAGTTCTACCAGGAGGGAAAAGGGAGATCTCAGGCTAGTGTTTGACAGCTCCACAGACAAAGGGTTACTACAGGAGAAGAAAGAAAGTCTGCATCTTCACCCTCAACCCTAATATACTTCAGTACTACTAAAATGCCAGAGACAAGAACCAGGGCTACAGTTCTGCTGAGAGGGGTTTCTTGCAAGGCAGCATTAAGGAACTAATACCTTAAGACATGATAAAAACAAAACATGGGGCTGGAGTGACAGCACAGCGGGTAGGGTGTTTACCTTGCATGTGGCCACCCCGGGTTCAATTCCCAGCATCCCAGATGGTCCCCTGAGCACCGCCAAGGATAATTCCTGAGTGCAGAGCCAGGAGTGACCCCTGTGCATCGCTGGGTGTGACCCAAAAAGAAAAAAAAGACATGATAAAAACAAAACAAAAGCAGTATTAGTTATGAGCAATTATAAGAAGGATATCTGTTCCATGAAACAAGCAGCTGCATGGTTAACAGAGAGTGACAGAGACAGAGAGAGACAGAGGGCCAGAGAGAGAGAGAGAGAGAGAGAGAGAGAGAGAGAGAGAGACAGAGAGACAGAGAGACAGAGACAGAGACAGAGACAGAGAGAGACAGAGAGCCAGAAAGAGAGAGAGAGAGAGAGAGAGAGAGAGAGAGAGAGAGAGAGAGAGAGAGAGAGAGAGAATCTGAGAAACCGAAGGGGCTCTGCTGAGAACACATCCATCCCAGAGGGTGAGCACTTGGAGCAGCCAGGACAGGCCCTGCCAGCAACAACCAGGTGGTGACCATCTCATTGTGAGAGGCTTGAAAGCATTTCTCAAGATAGAGCTCCACTAGCAAAGGATAAAAACTGGATCAAGCGAATATTTTACAATATCTGATCAAACACCAGTAAACAGCAAACTACGCTAATCCAAGAGTAACTTCTAGGAATCCAGGCTTAAAAATTAAAATGTGGAGGGCTGGAAAGATCCAACAGGGAAAGTACTTGCCTTGCACATGACTGACCTGGGTTTAAGCACGGTCCCCACACATGGTCCCCTCAGCAAGCCCAGGCGAGATCCCTGAGTACAAGCCCTGAGCACTGTTGGGTTAGCCCAAAATAAACAGAATAAAAAGTGTTTTAGGTATGGCCCAAAATAAATAACAAAGAAATGTGGAAAACTGAAAACCTGGTCATTGATTGTATCAAAAACTCAATTTAATTCAGTGGAGAAAAGGAAATAGAGAATAGATTCATATATGCAGCCTATAAGCCACTCAATAAACAAGCTAACAAAAATAATAACAAGCTCACAGGAAGTGAAGGATGGAGGGGAGTATAATCAGAGTTTACAAAACATTTCATAGTGAACAAAGAATTATGAGACATAAACAGATAGTGCGACTCTCACATAAACAAAAGAGAGAGAGAAATAGAGAGAGAGAGAGAGAGAGAGAGAAGGCAATTGAAATGACCTTTGAGAGATCCTAGCCTCTGAATGCACTGAGAAAACAGATTTTAAATCAAGTAATATAAATGTGTCCAAGGAAATAAAGAAAACCACACTGATGTAATTGAAGTGTGCTGACAATGACTCATTAAAAAATATGTATCAATAAAGACAAAATTTTTGAAAAGTACGATCATCTAAGTAAACATGTCACTGGGGTTCTCATAATAGATCTGAGCTAGGCAAAAAAAATGATCAGCAAACCTGAAGATGGATCATGAGAGATTAAACAACATGAAAAATTACACAGTGAGACCTGTGGAATGCCTTCAAGTACATTAACAAAACATGAAAGAGAAGAGTTTCAATTCAATATTTGAATTGTTTCAAATATTGAAACAATTATTGAAAACATTCCCAAATATGCTAAAAAATTAACCAACATACCCATGAAGTTCAACAAAGTGCCACAGTAGATTCTCAGACATGTTCATATAAAGACTTAAACAGAAGGAAAAAACATACAATTAGAAATCTCTAAGAAATTTCACAGTATAATTCACTTCCAATATGGAATACATGTTTTGAAAAGGATGAAGCTACTTGTAATATCAGAAAAACTTGTTCCTGAGTTAATTTAATTGCTTCTCAGCTGTTCCTAAGTTAATAAAAGTTTTCCTGAGTTAATTAGCAGCACCAAGTGGGAGACGTTAGGTGATAGCCGTCCCTCAGATTGGTTGGGAATTGGTTCAAGGACTTTCCCAGATACTAAAATCCATCTTGCTCAAGCCCCTAATATAAATAATAAATTAACTGCATTTACATTTGTGTGTAACTTACACACATTCTTCCCACACCTGAATTCATCTCCAGATTACTTATTATACAATAGAACCTCTCTCACACATGTTCAGTACAGAAGCAACTATCAAACACCCAACTCTACAGAACATATTCTCTCTGAGGATGGTCGAGGCCAAGGACAGGGATCCCTAGGCTGGACAGACAGAGCGCTGAGAGGAGAGTTGACATTGCCCAGCTCCATGCTCTGCCATGTTTATCAGTTGCCGTTGCCAAATGTTCCTCTCATTAGAATCCAAGCAGGACTCCAACCCAAGGAGCACAGTCTTGACACCCATCGTTACATCACACCCAGAACTTCTTTTTTTTTTTTATTTTTTTACAGTTGTAGATTTACAATTTTTTTTGTGCTTGGGTTTCAATTATACAATGATCAGATACCCATCCCTCCACCAGTGCCCGTTTTTCACCACCATGGATAATATCCCTCCCACCCCCATCCCCCCATCCCCCCCTGCCTCTGTGGCAGGACAATCCCCTGTGTTCTCTCTCTCCGTTTGGGTGTTGTGGTCTGCAAAAGAGGCATTGAGTGGCAAACATGTTCAGTCCATAGTCTACTTTCGACATGCATCTCCCCTCCTGGGAGGATCCTCCAAACATCCTTTATTTGGTGCTCCCTTCTCTATCTGAACTGCCCTTTCCTCTAGGATACCCGGCTGGCCTCTAAGTTATGGAGTAATCCTCCTGGTGCTGATCTCAGCTATTCTTGGGTATTAATCTCATACTTTGTTACTTTATATCCCCCAGATGAATGCAATCTTTCTATGTCTATCCCTCTCTTTCTGACTCATTTCGCTTAGCATGATACTTTCCATGTGGTACCACTTGTATGTAAAATTCATGACTTCATCCCCTCTAACAGCTACATAGTACTCCATTGTGTAGATGTACCAAAGTTTCTTTAACCAGTCATCTGTTCTTGGGCATTCAGGTTTCTTCCAGTTTCTGGCTATTGTAAAGAGTGCTGCAATGAACAAACAAGTGCAGATGTCACTTCGACTATACATTTTTGCTTCTCTGGGATATATTCCCAGGAGTGGTATTGCTGGGTCAAATGGGAGCTCAATTTCTAATTTTTTGAGAATCGTCCATACTGTTGTCCAGAAGGGCTGAACCAGTGGACATTGCCACCAACAGTGAAGGAGTGTCCCTTTCTCGCCACATCCACGCCAGCATTGGTTGCTTTTGTTCTTTTGAATGTGGGCCAGTCTCTGAGGTGTGAGATGGTATCTCATTGTGGTTTTGATCTGCATCTCTCTGATGATTAATGATGTAGAGCATTTTCTCATGTGCTTTTTTGCCATTCGGATTTCTTCTTTGAGAAAGTTTCTGTTCATTTCATTGCCCCATTTTTGGATGGGATTGGATGTTTTCTTCTTGTGGAGTTTAACCAGTATTTTGTATATCCTGGATATCAACCCCTTGTCAGATGTGTATTCGGCGAATATCCTTTCCCATTCTGTAGACTGTCTTTGTATTTTGGTCACTGTTTCTTTGGAGGTGCAGAAGCTTCTTAGTTTAAGATAGTCCCATTTATCTATCTCTGTTTTCACTTGCTTGGCCAGTGGCGTGGCATCTTTGAAGATACCATTAGCTTCAATATCATGGAGGGTTTTGCCAACTTTATTTTCAATGTACCTTATGGTTTCTGGTCTGATGTTGAGGTCTTTAATCCATTTTGATCTTACTTTTGTACATGGTGTTAGGAAGAATTCTGAGCCTATTTTTTTGCATGTAGCCGTCCAATGATGCCAACATAATTTATTAAAGAGGCTTTCCTTACTCCACTTCACATTACTTGCACCTTTATCAAAGATTAGATGATCATATGATTGAGGGGAGATGTCAGTGTATTCAACCCTGTTCCATTGGTCTGCAGTTCTGCCTTTGTTCCAGTACCATGCTGTTTTAATTATTACTGCTTTGTAGTACAGTTTGAAGTTAGGGAGGTTGATTCCCCCCATTTTCTTTTTCCCAAGAATTGCTTTAGCTATTCGTGGGGGCTTATTGTTCCATATAAATTTCAGGAGTGTTTGCTCCATTTCTTTGAAGAATGTCATGGGTATCCTTATAGGGATTGCATTGAATTTATACAATGCTTTCAGTAGTATTGCCATTTTGACAATGTTAAGTCTCCCGACCCATGAGCAGGGGATATCTTTCCATTTCCTCATGTCCTCTTTTATTTCCTGAAGTAGCGTTTTGTAGTTTTCTTTGTACAGGTCCTTTACTTCCTTAGTTAAGCTGATTCCTAGGTACTTGATTTTCTGGGGCACAATTGTGAACGGGATTGTTTTTTTCATGTTGCTTTCTTCTCTCTCACTGTTTGCGTATAGGAAAGCCATGGACTTTTGGGTATTGATTTTATAACCTGCAACTTTACTATACGAGTCTATTGTTTCTAGGAGTTTTTTGGTGGAGGTTATTGGGTTCTCTAAGTAGAGTATCATATCATCTGCAAATAGTGAGAGCTTGATTTCTTCCTTTCCTACCTGAATGCCCTTAATATCTTTTTCTTGCCTAATCGCTATTGCAAGTACTTCCAGTACTATAGTGAACAGAAGTGGAGAGAGTGGGCATCCCTGTCTCGTCCCTGATCTTAGAGGGAAGGCTCTCAGTTTTTCCCCATTGAGGATGATGTTTGCTGTAGGCTTGTGGTAGATGGCTTTAATTATGTTGAGGAAGGTCCCCTCTATACCCATTTTGGCTAGGCACACCCAGAACTTCTTAAGGAACTGCTAACGAAGAACGTTCTCATGGCCACAACACAGTACTCAAGTTCAACAAGTTAATAAAGGTTTAGGTTGCTTTTTTCTCTACAATTATGATCTTTTTGAGTTTTATATTTCATGGCAAAATTCCGCTCAAGAAATCCTGCACTCCAGGGCCAGAGTGATAGTACAACAGGTAGGGCATTTGCCTTGCATGCAGCCGACCAGGGTTCAATCCCCGGCATCCTATATTGTCGTAACTCTTGAGTGCAGAGCCAGGAGTAACCCCTAAGTATCATCAGGTGTGACCCCAAAAGAAATAAAGGAAGGAAGGAATGAAGGAGGGAGGGAGGGAGGGAGAGAGGAAGGAAGGAAGGAAGGAAGGAAGGAAGGAAGGAAGGAGAAAGAAAGAAAGAAAGAAAGAAAGAAAGTCAGCATTCTTATGCAATTCATGCAAATAAGAGTATATTCCTACACAATTATACCGTATCCAAATACAAGCAAAAAAATGAACATTAATGAATGCCAATATCTGATTATGGCCTACTTTAATTTTTCCAATTAACTAAATAAATTCCACTCTAAAAAGTCATGACCCATATTGCATTTATTTAGTCATCGTATCAGATTAATTATCTCTAATCTGGAAAGCTCCTCAGTCTTTCCTTGAATCATATGATTTTGGCACTTTTGGAGGTGATAGCATTTGGTAAAGCATCCCTCAATTCAGTGGGTGCAATATTCCCAACTACAGTAAGGCTAGACAATTCTAACAGACATATCACTGTATCACTGTATCACTGTCATTCATCAATGTACTCGAGCGGGCACCAGTAATGTCTCCACGTATCACTGAAGCTTGTTATGTCCTATCATTCAATGTTTGGTTTCAGTCTATTGCATTGCTAGTGGCCCGTTTTGGTTTGTGTCAGTTTCTCTGTATGTCCTCAATGAAAGCTGAATCTCAAAGAGATGACTTGGCATATCCAGAAACTGAACTAGCTATGTATAATTTTTAGCTTGCACTTGATAACAATCTTACAGGTCAAGTACAAATGACACCTAATGAAGTGTGTGTGTGTGTGTGTGTGTGTGTGTGTGTGTGTGTGGTGGGTTAACTCATAAACTGAAACAGGAAAAGAAATAGAACATAAAATTCAGTCAGAGTACAAAAGATGAGGTAAGCAACCTGAAATAATCTAGAAAACAAGTAGGACAGAAAGAAGGATTATTTTAGTTAGTGGAAGTACAGCTACAGAGTATTAGTGGACACATCCATTTTGCTTAGAGGACCGAATAAGGGGGTGAAAACCAGTAACAGGACACATGATAGGTCAGAGATGTCCTTTAGTCAGACCTCAAGGTGAAGAAATATGAACACCCAGTGCAGCTATTTTGACAAAAACACTTGAGCAAACAGCCCAGGAACACAGATAAAGATCATGATGGAATACGAGAAATGAGTCAGCAATGAGATGATCAAACAACTGGGCAGGAAGTACAGGAGCTCTAGGATTAATTTTTCCTCCTCTGGTAATGAGGGAAAACAGTGAAAAGACAAGCTAAAACCTGGTGCTTCTAACATGGAGAGTCTATATATACAACAGAAGACAGACGAAACTTATGATATGCCCCCAACAAAAGGCAAGACTGGCCTTTTCTGTCAAAGAGTCGGGGTAGGAAACCAGCTTCAAGGAGGAAAATGAGAGAAAACTGACACAGGCACAAGTATTAGTTGCGAGTTATGACCCATGTGTCAAGGTCAGGATGGAAAATTGAAGTAACAAGCGCTGTTCCTGGCTGGGGGGAGGGGGGTGAACACACTCTGACCTGTAGAGTCCTTCTGTTTAAGCAGACCTCTCACAGTTGACCTTAAAGTTTGGGTTGTCTGACACATCTCATAGTGCTCTTATGGTCAAAGAGTTAGACATTAACACAATGTCTAACTACCAGGGGAAATGAAGAGACAAAAGACAAGAAAGTTATACCACAAGGGGTAGTCGGTAACATGTCAATTCCCTTCTATTTGTAATTTATAAAGCCCTGCTTTACAGAATATTCCACCCCTGGACTTGGAAATATACGTTTTCTTGAATGATGCAATTATATGACCAGGAATTTTTCTTCCAATCATGTAATCACTTTGCAGATTCTGTCCTCTGGGCTCTGCGGTACAGATCTGCACATCCTGGAAGGGAGAAACAAAGTGCCTTTTCCTGTGATTTTGGGTCATGAGGGAGCTGGAATTGTAGAGAGTATTGGAGAAGATGTGACCAGTGTGAAACCAGGTAGGTGACCAGGAAGATGGGTGCCAGGCCAGTAAACTCACTCCCTGACATTTCCCCAAAGCCACAGAAAAGAAGTTTCAGCTTTTAACACATTGGGGGGAAAAAAGTGCTTTACTCCACCATGTATATTTTAAAAATAAATAAGCAGGTCAGAAGCAATAGAACAGTTGGGTAAAGCACATGCCTGGCACATGGCCGACCTGGGTTTGAGCCCTAGGACTCCAAGCCCTGCCAGGACAGGTCCCTGGGTGCACAGTCAGGAGTAAGCCTGAGAATATCAGACTCAGAATCTTCTAATTTTTTTTTTTTACTGAAAGGATCCCCCAGAAATGATTTCTCAGCTGATTTTTATAAGCTACTCTAATCTACCTCGCCCAAATTAAAGTAAAATTTGCAAACGTTTACAATATATTAGAATTGCTTTAAATTGAAAGTATATAAAATGATCTTCTCTCTCAAGGTCTCTCTGCCTCCCTCTCCTCTCTCTCCTTCTCTCTGTTCTTCCCTCCACCCCCCCCCCCACGCACACTATAATTCTTTAAAATTGACTAAGGTTTGCAACATTAATAATAAAGTTTCCGGCGCATATGCTGCCTGAATCCATGTGCTGCTAGTGCCCACGTGGTCGAACACATGTGGGCTGAGCACATGTATCGCCCGCATCTTCCCTCTTGAGATGTGTACTTTCATGCTTTTATGTCTAATGCTAGGATGTTTGTAGGGGCTCTCACTCCATCCTTGGAGAAGCCTGTGTTCTCTCTTGAGTATGTTACTCTCGCTCTCTCTCCCCCCCTCCACACCTTAAAAATCCTCCAAATAAAATCTATTTGTTTAAAATAATAATAATAATAAAGTTTCCTCCAGAATTTATAGCTACTGCTTCTACACTGGATATAATTCATGCCTCGACCTTTTTGAGATAATCTATATCTCATATTATTCTAACAACAAACATGTCATATCTAATTCAAGCTCATTTTATATATATATGAGGAAATTAAAGTTTTGGAAAATTATTCAACTTGATGATAATTATTTATATATTAATAACTGATTTAGCTATTTAATTGCAGAGTTAGGATTAAAACATATGGTTTCTGCCATAAAATACTAAAACGGACAAACTTCATACCACAAACATGGTTGTCATTCAGACACTTCCTCTTACCTTTGCAATTACCTCAATATCAGTAGAGACAAATCTTCAATCTGTATTATACATTTTGAAGATCTCTCCACATTAAAATTGATGTGCTTTTTGGAATTCCGTTCCAAATGGAAATGAGAACTAAAAAAGACCCACAATCATTAGAGTGGGGTTGGGACACGGCTCGGAGGGTGCAAACACGCCTGCGTGTGAGATGCCCTGGGTGGATCCCAGCACACACGCCTCTCCTCACCCTCAAGCATCAGGTGTGTCCCTGATGGCTTCTTTAGCACTTTCGGGTATGGCCCCACCACTAACAAAAACAAACAGAAAAAAATAACATCACAGCCAACTGATAGCATCTACCATAAATAATTTCTTATCACTAAGGCTAATGTTTGGATAATGATGACCTCTGCACTTCTTTCTACAGGAGATAAAGTCTTACCACTCCCACTTCCACAGTGCAGAGAATGTAGTTCCTGTTTGAATCCCACAGGCAACTTCTGCTTGGAGGAAAAGTCAGTTTCAATTTCTGTGACTCCTTTCACCTGGTTTCATGGGTCCAGGGACTGACTAGAAAGCAAAAATCCCATTTTTCTCTCCTTGTTGCTTTATGTCTACATGAAACAGTATCCTTACTCCAACTGGATTAATGTCAGATGGAACCAGCAGGTTTACCTGCAAAGGGAAGAGGATTTACCACCTGTTTGGCACCAGCACGTTCACGGAGTACACAGTCGTACGTGAGATTGCCCTGGCGAAAGTCGATGCTTCGGCCCCTGTGGACCAGGTCTGCATCCTGAGCTGTGAGGTGCCCACGGGCTTTGGAGCCGTGTTTAACACCGCAAAGGTGGGGCATCTTCTGTGAGTTTTCTTTTGATTAATTTTTATTAGGGCACTGTTCCTTACAAAGTCACTCCTAGTTGAGTTCCAGGCACACAATATTCTGACAGCAATCCCACACCAGTGCCCTCCTTTCTCCACACGGCTATTTTTTCCCTCGGTGACTGCTTCATTCCAGGGTCACACCTCAGAGATCATCTTCATCAGACAGGAAGTCAGAGTGAGCTGTTCTTTCCTATTAGCATGGGGCATAGTTTGGAAGACCCCTCGATGTTTGTTTTCTGAATCTGCAGGTCAGCCCTGGTTCCACCTGTGTGGTCTTCGGACTGGGCGGGATTGGCTCTGCCATTGTCCTGGCCTGCAAGGCCTCCGGAGCTTCCAGGATCATCGGGGTGGACATCAATGAGGAGAAGTTCCCCCGGGCCGAAGCACTCGGGGTCACTGATTGCCTCAATCCCCAGAGACTTGAGAAGCCTGTCCAGCAGGTGGTGGTGGAAATGACCGGTCTTGGCGTGGACTTTGCGTTTGAGGCCGTGGGACTCACAGACACCATGGTGCGTGGAATTGGGATGGTCAGGGAACTGCCATCGGCTACGGAAACGTGTTTAAGCATCTCACGAGTGATGAGATGACTGTCTCCTCACTAGCACGTCCACACACATGACTTGCACTGTTCTGCACTATTATGTCACTCATCTCCTTTAGTCCTCACATCCTTTTCGTCTTTAAGACTGAAAACTTAACTGTAACTGGGCTCACAGACACCCAGGACCTCCCAGAGGGCTACCGAACACTGTCTCAGTTCATATTACTTTTGGCGGTAGTGGAATAAGTATTTGGGCCACACCAGCTGTGCTCACTCTGTGCTCAGGGGTCACTCCCAGTTACCATGTGGTGTGGGTGGTTGAGCCAGGATTGATGACATGCCAGGTATGAGCCTTGACCTGAACTAGCCCTCCACGTCCCCCACCCCGTGCATATCATTCTCCCCACGTGACTGCTCGGAGTGTCCGTCAGAAGGGTGGGAGCCACCTGGATGCCCACAGCTGTCTCTGTTGCAGGTCGCTGCCCTGGAGAGCTGCCGTGTGAGCTCTGGGGTGTGTGTGGTTGTCGGTGTGGCGCCCACCCACTCCCAGCTCTCCTTCGACCCAGCACTACTGCTCCCAGGGAGAACTGTGAAAGGTGGCACCATGGGAGGTAAGTATCGGCCCTCTCACTGCCCCTCGGACCCCAGACACCCTTCCGAGCGAGCACTTGGCAAGATGGGGGAGGGACGGGGGAGAGGAGGCGGGACATTTGTGTGTGAAAGAAAAAGAGCAGGGTGTGACACTAGAATATCCAACAGATATCTTCTATTTGTCCTTAGTCCCCCAAAGAAAGTAAAGTAAGTAAGTAAAGGCCCTCCCGTTGATCATCGATTTGCTCGAGCAGGCCCAGTAACGTCTCCATTGGAGACTTTGTTGTTACTGTGTTTGGCTTATCGAATACTTCACGGGGAGCTTGCCAGGCCCTGCCGTGCGGGCGAGATACTCTCGGTATCTTGCCGGGCTCTCCGAGAGGGGCGGAGGAATCGAACTCGGGTCGGCCATGTTGGCTGCGTGCAAGGCAAACGCCCTACCGCTGTGCTATCGCTCCAGCCCATACCACCCTGAATGCGCCCCCAAAGAAAACAAACAGGCAAACAAGCCCCAGTGAAGGCAGCTCTCATGAGAGTGTCACTGGGCTCTTCCCCAGACGAGGTCTGCAGACCCTCCACAGGCCCACCAGGACCTTGCACTTGTAAACTCTCAACTGGGCAAGTCTTTGCACCTTGTTCTGCCCAGACCAGCAACCATGCTTCTTTCTGACTGCCGTGAATCACAGCTCCTCACTGACTTTGATACACTTCATCTTAATCAGTTTTCATTTATTTACTTTAGGTTTTGGATCACCCCCCACGATGCCCTGGGCTTGCTCCTGGCTCTGCACTCAGGAATTACTCCTGGAAGTGCTCAGGGGACCACGTGGGATGTAAGGGACCAAACCCGGGTTGGCTGCATGCAAGGCAAGAATCCTACCCGCTGTGTTATCTCTCCAGCCTCTTAATTAGCTCCCATTTAATTGCCTTGTGCCCAGTGCTTCCTTACTGAGCAGCTCTGGCAAGGTGGTCTTGTTCTCAGACGCCAGAATGCACCAGAAGGTACCATACTGTAGAAAGCGAGGAGGTAGTTGCCAGGTCACTTACCAGGGCCCATGACCTGGGCAAGTTATCTAAGCAAGTTAGCTGCTAGTATCATTATCTGAAAACAGTTCTAACACAGAAGTAAATGACAGGCTGCAGGTAGAGTACCACATAGGAGCAAAAACATAACACACACACAGAATTAATGTCCAATTGCTGCGAGGACAATGATAATAGAAACTCATCAGCCCAAGCAGAAGAGAAGGAAGCACAGGCTGGAGAGAAAGCACAGTGGGTAGCGTGCTTGCCTCACCTATGACCGACCTGGGTTTGATCCCTGGCACCTCACAGGATTTCCTGAGCCCACCAGGAGTGATTCCTGAGCAGAGAGACTGGATAAGCTCTGAGCACTGCCAACCTGTGCCCCAAAAGCAGGGAAAAAAGAGAGAAGAAAGCACATATGTAGCAAAAGACAATGGGAAAACTGTTGCTGTTTTGAGAGACCTGCTGCTTTTTCCTTTCTTCAATGGTGCAGTTTTGCATGAATCAACTGAAGGCAAATAAAACTGCATCAGTTAGCAGTTTGTCAACTACAAGAGAAAAAGTGCTACCAACCAACTTCCCATCCTGGAGAGTTTCTTTCTTCAGAAATTCTAAATGTGGTGGAGTTCACGCCCAATTCAATCAGCTAATCAGTGGCTGAATAAATAGCAATACTCCTACATTAAAAGAAGAAAAGAAATTCTAAATGCCTGTAAATCTTCCAACTGAATAATAACTCAATATAGGAGTCGGAGAAATGATATGAAATAAGGCATTTGCCTTGAACCCCAGACCTCAATTTGAATTCTGGACTCCACGTATCATCTCCCAAGCACCACCAGGGCCATTACTGAGCGTAGAGCGAGGACAGCACCTGAGCAGTACGCGTGGAGGCCCAACCCCCAAAAGAAAATTCAGCTTAAAATTTCACCACTTTTTAAGTGATTAAGCTGGAGCCTGGAAGAAGTTGGCACAATTGCTGTTTCTTCTTGTGGCTTGCTCCGCTGGGTTTATGGGAGAGTTTGCTCACATTTCCAAGCACTTCGCATTTGTATCTGCTAGTTCTCCCTCCCATCCTACAGGCAAACGCATGGAGGAAAGTCACCCAGAGTCAGATCCTCACTTCATTAAAAAATGGAATGTTTTTTTCTTTTATTTACTTCTGTGATTAAATGTTTCTAAGTTACTCAATAGCTTGCGCTCCAATTACATAATACTTAGGAATTTTAGTACAAAGTATCGAATTAATATATTTGTAGCCAAGGCTCTGAGTTAAAGGAAAGATGTGGAAAAACAAAATTTTTCTCATATAAAAGAACTCAATGTCCTTGACTGTTTTTGTTTTAATTTGAGGGCCACACTCTTAATCCTGGCTCTGTTCAGGGGTCACTCCTAGCAATGTCCAGAAGATCATACAGAGCGCCAGGGTCTAGCCTGGGTCCATGACAGGCAAGGCAAGTGCCCTGCCTGCTATACTATCTCCGGCCCCTCAATCTTCTTGATTTTTTTGTGTTTGTTTTTGGGCCACTCCCAGCAGTGCTCAGAGCTCACTCCTAGCTCTGCACTCAGGAATCACTCCTGGAGGGGCTCAAGAGGCCATGTGGGATGCCGGGATCAAACGTGGGTCAGTCCGTGAAGGGCAAGCACCCTGCCAGCTGTACTCTCTCTGACCCCTCAACCTTCTTGACTTTTAAGACTTAGAATGCTATAAATCATAACATTCTATAGTTGCCCAAATGCAACTTTTTACTGATGTTGGGCCTAGAGAAATAGTGCAGTTGCCAGAGTGCTCACCTTGCAGGACAGTGCACCCAGACTGTGACCCTGTCGGCTGCTGTAGAAGCCTGTTTGCGGTGATGCCACAAGCAGCTTCCAGCCCTACACACAGATATGTGTGAGCACCACGAGAGAGACAGGATCCCTGAGAAGCACCACACAAAAAGACGTGCAAGTCCCAACCAGGACGTGGGGCCCTGCCAGGCTGGTGAGCATCACAGCCACCCCACAATAAATCAGGAGCATGATCCTAACATGCCTTCAGCTAAGAGGGTGACCCTGGCCAGCACTGTGCAAGTACCACGGGTAAAAACATGTGGGCACCACAGCCGGCATGTTTCAACCTGCAGCATCAAACTAACCATGAGAACAACAAAGAGGAGGTGAGGGGCGAAGAATAGGAAATGAGATGACGATGCTGCAGGTTCTGTAAGAGTTCCCGGGCTCTGGGTTCTCAACTGGACCTGCACTTTGTTCTGTGTGGTATGGAGAAGCGACAGGCCCAGAGAGGGTGACCTGAAATTGCCCCCAATTGCACACAGTTCTCAGAGGGGACACAGCAGGCCACGCAGGGCCACTGGAGGAGAAGTGACTCTGGAAGCTTGACGCACCTAAAGGCCCAGACCACAGCCTTCCCTCAAGCTCCCTGGGAAGAAGCAGGCTCAGGGCCAGGGCCAGCTCTGTGTCCGGGGAGTGTCCAGGGGAGCCAAGGCCCCTGGTAACAGGTCTGGGAGGACAAGGCAGAATGTGCTTCATTTGATCTTTTAGCTATTTTTTCATGTCTTATTATTGTTATTTCTTCCAGAGTTTAAAACCAGAGACTTCATCCCTCAACTGGTAACTGACTACCTGCAAAAAAAATTCAACATAGATCCACTTATAACACATAAGATGCCTTTTGAAAAAATCAACCAAGCATTTGAATTGCTTCAAAATGGAAACTGGTAAGTATTTCTGAATGTGGTGTGTGTGTGTGTGTGTGTGTATGTGTGTGTGTGTGTGTGTGGTGGTGTTTGTATGTGCGTGTGAAAGAGAGAGAGAGAGGTATGTATATACATGTGTGTAGTATGTGTGTGAGAGTGTGGTGTATACACTGTGTGAGTGGAATTATGTGTATGGTGTGGGTGGGTATTGTATGTGGGTGTGGATATGTTTGTAGTGTATGTGAGTAGTTTTATGTATACAAGGTACAGTTTGTATGGCTCTCTCAGTCTGATTTTTAATTAATAGTTTCCTACCTGATGTTTCAAAAGTATCTCTATGTAACCTACGTTCACTGAGCATCTACGAATCGACAATGCTGGGCACACTGCAATCCCTGTCTCAAGCCACTGCTGGTTTAGCATTGGTGTGTGAGACATTTGTCCATCAAGAACCACAGCAGAGGGCTGAGTATATGATGACTGCTCAGAAATTCCCAGACGACAGAATCAAGGCACAGAGCCCTCACACTGACTGAGAGGTGGGGAAGCTGGTCACCCTAAAACGGGCCAAGGAGCTTAGTGAACTACAACAGCTGGGGTAAGGGTACTTTTAGGAAAAGAAACTATAAACGAGTTCATAGCAAATAAATACTGCATCTTAAGCAGAAACAGAGGCCAGGGGCATGGCTCGGTGGCAAGATACATGCCTTACATAATTTTATGCTGGGTTCAATCCCCAGCACCACCCATACATACCAAAACTAGACACAACTCAGTTTGTAAGGACCAGATTATGCTTGTGTGAAGTAATGAGTATAAAGGTTGTAGCTGCAAAATACTCCCTACATGAAGAAACAAGAGTCTAAATCTAAAGAATTGGATTTCCCTAGGTTATTGCCTCTCCATGGCACAATTCTGATACTGCTACAGAGCCCCACCTAGGAGAGATGGACATAAAATGACAATCATTTTGTTTAGTTAGTTGCTTTGGGACGACATGCCTGTGGTGTTCAGGGATAACTCCTGGTTCTGTGCTCAGGGATCACTCCTGTAGGGGCTCAGGAGACCCCATTGGGTGCCAGGGCTCGAACCCAGGTTGGTTGCATGCAAGGAAAGTTCCCTACCAACTCCATTATCACTTCAGATCTTACGTGCTGCTTTTCTTCTGTTTGTTTTTTTTTTTTAATGTAGGAGTACTGCTATTCATTCAGCCACTGATTAGCTGATTGAATTGGGCATGAACTCGGCCTTACTTTTTTTTTCTTTTTTTATAATTTTATTTATTGAATCACTGTGAGAGCAATTACAAAGCTTTCGGGTTTGTCTCGGTCATATAATGAAACACCCGTACCTTCTCCAGTGCCCATTCTCCACCACCAAAAACCCCAGTATACCCCCACCCTACACCCTTCCTCTACCTGTGGGGCAGATGATTTCCACATTACTCTCTCTACTTTGATTACATTCAATATTTGACACCAGACCCACCATTATTATTTGGGATTTTACCCCAACACCCAGATCTGCTGAAAAGACAACAGTAGACATTTTGTTTTCTATTGCTGGTTATGAATAACATATGATGTTGAGTGGCTGCAGTAGTTACCGCGTTATTTTGAAATTCCGAAATTCTAACACTTAAATCTGGAGGGATTTCTGCCAAAACCTGCTGGGTTACGAGATTTGTTTCTAAGTCTCTGGGATCATGGCCGTTAAGCAGCTTGTCAGGAGCCAGAGAGGCCGTTCATGGGGGGCAACTCGGGGTCTTGTTGGGGTGGAGAGGAAAGAGCCGGCTCCACCCCCATCCCATGAGGCCCCACGTGTCTCGTCACTGCAGGCCCAAACCTAATTGTCCAGTGGCCTCTGGAGGATGGTGGCCACCAGGCCGCCAGTGGAAACAGACTAAGGTACAAAACCTATTCCCACCTGGAGTGGCCCAGCACCAGTAACCTACCACAGGAACAGGACACATTTCTGCCAAAAGTCGTTGGGTTCCAAGATTCGTTTCTGAGTCTCTGGGATCATGGCCATTAAGTGGCTTGATCAGGAGCCAGAGAGGCCATTTGTGGGCAGCAACTCGAGGTTTCTTTGGGATGGGAGGAAAGGGCCGGCTCCAACCCCATCCCGTGAGGCCCTGTGTGTCTTGTCACTGTGGGCCCAAACCTGACTCTGGAAGATGGCAACCACCGAGCTGCCTAGGGGGAGCAGGCAGAGGGACAGCACCCTTCCCCCCTGGGATGGCCTGGCAACAGTAACCTACTGCGCAGTGGGGATGCATTTCTGCCAAAAGCTGCTGGGTTTCAAGAATTGTTTCTGAATCTCTGGGATCATGGTCGTTAAGCAGTTCAATCAGGAACCAGAGAGGACATACCTCCAATTATATAGCTGAGCCAGAGATGGTTTGTGGGTGTGTCTCCCACATACCTAACTTTTGGCTGTTTACTTTCTTGGTAAACTCTGCCCCAAGTTTTTGGGGTCTGGCCAAAGGCACAGCAACAATTTTGGGGTATCTGGAAGTCTGAAGGCACCATCAGGATGCTGATGCACTAGCCTCATAGGTACAGATTGACCTGCTGGCGGCACCATACCCCCTTTTTTGGGTTTTTTTGAAACACCCACCTGTGCCCCACAGTTTACTCTGGGCTCTGCAATCAGAAATAACTCAGGAGACCATATGGGATGCCAAGGATTGAACCAAGGATTGTGCGCAAGGCAAGCACTCTCCCTGCTGGACTATGAGTTCCAGCACAACAGAGTGCATGGACAGGATGACAAGTTTAATTAAGTTTTAAAGCATCTAAAGAATACAGGTGTTGAACCATCTTCCCTAAGTCCACTTTACAAGTTGTGACATCACCTGTGCTTCCAAGGGTACAAACCTTTTGCTGATAATAGGGAACTGGGTTCTAAGCAGGGAGACCCGTGGGGCCAGAAAGATAGTACAGTGGGTAGGGTGCTTGCCTTGGACATGGCAGTCCTGGGTTTGATTCCTGCCATTCCATATGGTCCCTTGATCCCATCAGGAGTGACCCCTGAAAATGGTGGAGGGAAGGTGTAATGGTGGTGGGATTGGTGTTGGAATACCAAATGTCTTTTTTTTCTTGCTTTTTGGGTCACACACAGTGATTCTCAGGGGTTACTCCTGGCTCTGCACTAAGGAATTACTCCTGGCAGTGCTTGGGGGACCATTTGGGATGCCAAGGATTGAACCCAGGTCGGCTGCGTGTAAGGCAAATGCCCTATCGCTCCAGCCCCCAAATGCCTTTAATAAATTATCATGAACAACTTTGTAAACCACAGTGCCTAAATAAAGTGTAAGGGGAAATTTTGAAAAATTAAATTAATTTTTAAAAAAAGAAGTGACCTCTTAGTGCAGAGCTAAGAGTGATCCCTGAGCAGTGCTAGGTGTGACCCAAAAACCAAACATTAAATTAAGAAACGGGGAGACACAAATAAACTTACAGACCTGTGAAAGCAACCCTGATGGGTTCTCCTTTTAGAGACTTTAGCTAAACATTCTCCTACCCCAGACAGTATGTAAATGGATCTATCCTACAGTTACCAGTATGAGAATGTGAACATCTGTCACTGGTCTCAGAGCAACAGATAATCCCCACAGGGATGGCAGTACATTCAAGGCTTTGCTTTCTGGAGCCAGGAGACAGTACTTCACCGAGGGCTTGTGGGATTTGATCCCTGGCACCATGTTGTTCCCTGAGCATTTCTGAGTGCAGCCCTGGGGGGTCTCAGTACCAGCAGGGTCACCCTAGTAAAGCCTGGCATCTCATCCTTGGGCCCTTGCACTTGACCCTTGCCTGCCTGGCTGAGAGTCCTCTTTGGAGACCCCTAACCTCCTGAGCACCATTTGGAGTTCTCCTCCTCCCACCCCCATCACCAAAATCTTCATCTTCAAAGAAAAACAGAGGCCTGTGATCAATTTAGCAAAATTTCAGGGATTCTTCTCTGGAACACGAGGCATACACAGTGTTTCCTGTAATGGTATATAGAAGAACATCACAACTAAAAGCTAAATAACAGATTTCAAGCATTTTCAAGTTAATGCTTTCAAGAAAACTAAACACTATGATGACAGATAATAGCCTTGCCAATGTGGAGAAATGCAACATGTGAATCTAATTTCCTAAGGAGAGGAGATGGGCTAGTTAAGCCCGGGACTATGGGTTCCCAGGCAGCGAGGCAGACAGAGACACTAACTCGATCATAGAAAAGCAGCGGGAGTTTTATTCCGGTATACTGGAGTCAACTATCTCACCCACGGAGTGATCTCTTGATAGCAACCCCGACTTCAGGCAGTGAGCAGTTTATATAGTGTTTGATTACATAAGCAGTACATGTCTTATTGTTTCAGAAAGAAATCTTCCTTAGTTACCAAACAAAGGTGTTTTGGCAAGTGTCTGGGGTAACAGCCGTCAGGCAATAGTTAAACAATAGTTTCCACTGGCAGTTTATGGTTACATATGCTACTCATTCTTTTAGGGTTAACCAAAGACAATTTCTGGGGCATTTTGACTGGGGGCGTAGTGATTGATTGAGCCCACTCGCTGGGCCCAGGAACTTGCCTAGGTGGGTTCAGATTGGCTAGTTATGCATTGTTTCATTGCTAGGAAACTGAATCTGTTTCAGTTCCAGGAACTGAACCTGAGGCCTAGCTGATTTTGCTGATTTCTGCCACCTGTCATGGCATCAGTTTCGCCCTCACAGGCTTTTCTGCTATTTGATGGGGCGTTTATTTCTAAGCTGCCATATGTGGAAAGGCCATGAAAGTTGTCAAGCCTCCTCTTCTCATTAACTATGACCATAGGAAGTACCCATAAATAATCTTCATATATTAATTTAAAAGTGTTTTCTTCCCTTTTATTTGAATTTTTAATTTCTGGACTTGACCCCAGTAAAAAGCAGTTTCACCAACTATTCACAATGTCCTCAAGCAATTTATTTTGCCTAAGCTACCTAGAGTATCTCACCCATACGGCAGAGCCTGGCAAGCTACCTGTGACGTATTCAATATGCCAAACACAGTAACAACAAGTCTCACGATGGAGACGTTACTGGGCCCGCTGGAGCAAATTGATGAATAACAGGAGAACTGTGACCATGACCGTGAATTACACTATCAGGAAATGTTACTTCTTTTTCACTGTCTGTCACTGTCCTCCCCTTGTTCATCAATTTGCTTGACAGGGCCCAGTAATGTCTCCATTTTGAGACTTGTTGTTACTATGTTTGGCATATTGAATACCTCATGGGTAGCTTGCCAGGCTTTGCCGTGCGGGCGAGATACTCTCAGTAGCTTGCCGGGCTCTCCGGGAGGGGCGGAGGAATCGAACCCAGCTCGTCCAGGCTGGCTGTGCGCAAGGCAAACGCCCTGCCACTGTGCTATCGCTCCAGCCCTACTTATTTTTAAATGTGCTTTATTGGAATTGACTTTATAATTACTTGATTCAGAAACCTTAGATTTTGGCACCGAGGTCAAATAAAATAATACTGACCTTTGCAATATTAATTGCTTATGTGGTATTAGAACAAAATGTGGGACAAAGAACCTGAGGTGAGCTTCCATGAGGAAAAACATGTAGGCTCAAGTTGGGGGGTTTATACAAATGTTCTGCACAAACCCCCATATTCTATCAGTAAAGTACTCCTAATACTCGTATAAACAAACGTTATTTGTTTGATGTCACTTTCATTTTATGGGAAGACAGTCAAGACTCAGGGAAGTCCTAGGACCTACTGAGCTTATCAGAGCCACACCCGTCCTGCTCCTCTTTCCTCTAAGCTCCCCCTTGCTGCCACAGTTCCTTACCTCGTCTGCACACAGCACTGTGCTCTTCGAGTCCCTTTCAACCCTCACCTACCTGCAGACTTACTTCTTTTTTTTTTCCCTTTATTTTATTTTATTTTTTTTAAAGTTGTAGATTTACAATTTTTTGTGCTTTGGTTTCAATCATACAATGATCAGATACCCATCCCTCCACCAGTGCCCATTTTCCACCACCATGGATAATATCCCTCCCACCCCCATCCCTCCATCCCCCCTGTCTCTGTGGCAGGGCAATCCCCTGTGTTCTCTCTCTCCGTTTGGGTGTTGTGGTCTGCAAAAGAGGCATTGAGTGGCAAACATGTTCAGTCCATAGTCTACTTTCGACATGCATCTCCCCTCCTGGGAGGATCCTCCAAACATCCTTTATTTGGTGCTCCCTTCTCTATCTGAAATGCCCTTTCCTCTAGGATACCCGGCTGGCCTCTAAGTTATGGAGTAATCCTCCTGGTGCTGATCTCAGCTATTCTTGGGTATTAATCTCATACTTTGTTACTTTATATCCCCCAGATGAATGCAATCTTTCTATGTCTATCCCTCTCTTTCTGACTCATTTCGCTTAGCATGATACTTTCCATGTGGTACCACTTGTATGTAAAATTCATGACTTCATCCCCTCTAACAGCTACATAGTACTCCATTGTGTAGATGTACCAAAGTTTCTTTAACCAGTCATCTGTTCTTGGGCATTCAGGTTTCTTCCAGTTTCTGGCTATTGTAAAGAGTGCTGCAATGAACAAACAAGTGCAGATGTCACTTCGACTATACATTTTTGCCTCTCTGGGATATATTCCCAGGAGTGGTATTGCTGGGTCAAATGGGAGCTCAATTTCTAATTTTTTGAGAATCGTCCATACTGTTTTCCAGAAGGGCTGAACCAGTGGACATTCCCACCAACAGTGAAGGAGTGTCCCTTTCTCGCCACATCCACGCCAGCATTGGTTGCTTTTGTTCTTTTGAATGTGGGCCAGTCTCTGAGGTGTGAGATGGTATCTCATTGTGGTTTTGATCTGCATCTCCCTGATGATTAATGATGTAGAGCATTTTCTCATGTGCTTTTTTGCCATTCGGATTTCTTCTTTGAGAAAGTTTCTGTTCATTTCATTGCCCCATTTTTGGATGTTTTCTTCTTGTGGAGTTTAACCAGTATTTTGTATATCCTGGATATCAACCCCTTGTCAGATGTGTATTCGGTGAATATCCTTTCCCATTCTGTAGACTGTCTTTGTATTTTGGTCACTGTTTCTTTGGAGGTGCAGAAGCTTCTTAGTTTAAGATAGTCCCATTTATCTATCTCTGTTTTCACTTGCTCGGCCAGTGGTGTGGCATCTTTGAAGATACCATTAGCTTCAATGTCATGGAGGGTTTTGCCAACTTTATCTTCAATGTACCTTATGGTTTCTGGTCTGATGTTGAGGTCTTTAATCCATTTTGATCTTACTTTTGTACATGGTGTTAGGCAGAGTTCTGAGCCTATTTTTTTGCATGTAGCCGTCCAGTGATGCCAACACAATTTATTAAAGAGGCTTTCCTTACTCCACTTCACATTACTTGCACCTTTATCAAAGATTAGATGAGCATATGATTGAGGAGAGATGTCAGTGTATTCAACCCTGTTCCATTGGTCCTGCAGACTTACTTCTGAGCCACACCTGTGCAGCCCGCACCACCAGACTCTAGGCTCAAGTCCCGGACATTCTCCAAACTGCAGTTCAGAGAGGCCACCAGCTTCCGCCAGCGTCCCTTGCACTGACCAGCCCCGTGACAGCACAGCAGACACTGCTACCAGTGCCTGACTGTTCATTTGCTCTTGCACAGACTAAGCCTTGGAATGTCACATTCATCATCCTTGCCCCAACCTGAAACACATGCTGAAACACGGGCTACTCCGTAAAAAGAGACTTTGAGGGGACACAGAAATGAGAACACGAGCTCAGAGGCCGTGGTCCCGCTGCAGATGCTGTGGCACAGTGTGCCAGGACTCTGCACGCACAGCCGAGGAGGGGCTACGGCTCTTCCTAACAGTTCCGCCTCGCAGCTGTGACACCTGGGAGGGGCACACCGGATTTGGGAGGCACAGCTTAGGCCTGGCCTGAAGCCCTCAGACAACACTCACAGCTAGAAAACAGAGCAGCCGTGTGAATTCCCTCCCATCACGCCAGCTGGCGGTCAGCCGAAGGACTGCCACTGACCTGGTGGGAAGAGTATGTGGTAACGATGGATCCCAGTGTGGTGCCCATGTCCTCTCGGCAGCCACTAGGACAGTCAGTGACCCTGTGCCAGCTGCCAACCTCTGACCTCTCTGGGGCAAGGATGAAGGGACAGCAGGGACAGGTGAAAAGGGGCATAAGAAACAGATACACAAATAATGACTGAGGACTGAAGATGATTATTTATAAATCATGTTGAGTCCACTGTTAACTTTAAAAAATGAACCACATGTGAAATACTAAAATGAAAAATGAGTTCATTACTGGATTTCTTATTGTAATCGTTTTCTGCTATCAAGTGAATTCATTTCTTTCCTTAGCAGTAACTGGCTTTTCATACATTTAATCTCAAATGAAGAAAAAAATGTGACTGCTCAAGTTTCCATTACAAAAATTCCCTTCTTTACTTTCACAGATATATTTAGCAGTTGGAAGTCTCAATTCTGTCTTTGACATACTGTGCATATTATTCTAGCATGTTAAAGAGATTTATTTTAATAGCACAGCGGGTAGGGCGATTGCCTTGCATGCAGCTGACCCAGGTTTGATTCCTCTGTCCCTCTCGGAGACCCCACCAAGCTACCAAGAGTATCCCTCCTGCACGGCAGTGCCTTGCAAGCTCTCTGTGACAAATTTGATATGCCAAAAAAAAAAAAAACCCAGTAATAACAGGTCTCACAATGGAGACATTACTGGTGCCCACTCGAGCAAATCGATGAACAACAGGAGGACAGTGTTACAGACAGTTAGGTTATTAAGCATACTTTAATATTTGAATAAAACAACCAATTGTCTCCCCCCAAAATAAACAGAGCTGTAGTACAGCAGGTAGGTCACTTGCTTTGAACACAGTTGACCCAGGTTCAATCCCTGGCACCACTTGTAGAGGTCCCCCAAGCCCACTAGGAGTAAGCTCTGACCATAGCCAGGTGTGGCCCCCCCAAAAAAAAGAAAAGAAAAGAGAAAGAAAAAATAAAAGGAAAGAAGCAGGGCAGGCAGAAAATGTCTCAATTATTTTTTTCACTTATTTTCTCTGCGAAGATTGTTTAGGACCCACTTCTATGTAAGCAAAACAGCCACTTTCATGTTTGGATTTTGTGTTTCAGCATCCGCTGTGTTGTCAAGCTCGGAGGTGATGAAAGTGGACCATAGCCCGCCACCTCAATGACTTGTCATACAAAGCACCCAAAATTGGAAAGAGAACAATTCTGGAATTTTAAGAAATAAAACTCTCAGGGGGGAGGGGAAGAGGGTGTGGCATGGGAGGGAAACTGGGGACATTGGTGGGGGGATGTACATGGGTGAAGAGATGGGAGTTGGAACATTATATAACTGAAACCCAATCGTGAACAACTTTGTAACTGTGTATCTCATTGTGATTCGATCAAAATTAATTAAAATAAGTAAATGAAACTCTGCTATGAAATTAAGCTATTTTTAAACTGATGTTTTTATGTCATGCCAATGCCTAAAGAAGCAGAAATTGGTTAGTGAAGACTTGGTTAGTAATTTTATCATTCCAACAATCTTGTCAAAAATGTGTGAGTGCATTAAGGGGCAACATTAGCTCACTACAGGGAAGCTTTCTCCATCACCCACACATTGCAGAGAGATTCTGTAGGTGAAGAACCTACTACCTGTCGGTGAGGAGATAAATCTGGCCAATAATTAGTGCTGTGAGTGGAGAAAGGATAGTTGGAAGGATTCAGGCAACAACAACAAAATGCCATCTTAGTAAATGAAAAAATGAAAGTAGGACAATATAATCATTTCGATTGCCCACAAAATATAGTCCATAACAAAACACATCCCAAGCCATAAAACAAATCTCAATAAATGTAAAAGAACCAAAATCCTACCAAATGTGTCATCTTATGTCAATGGAATCAATTAGAAATCAATTAACAGAAAACAACTGAAAATTAATAACAATAATGAAATAATGAGAAATAATGAGAAAACTCTCTAATAAACACTTAGAAATTTAAACAACACACACCAGAAGGGGAAGCACATATGCTAAACCATGACAGATAGGTATTAGATCAAAACATCTAGAAATGACCTTGATATTAGAAAGAAATTCATAAAATGCATCAAGAAAAACCTAGGCAAAAAAAAAACTATAGTGTTGGGTGTAGAGGTACCTTCAATAATCTCATACCATTGGCCAAGAAAAGTAAGCAAAACTAAAGTGGAACAACATCAAATTAAGAAGGTTTTACACTGATAAAGGAATTATGACTAGAATAATAGACACCCACTGACTGGGAGAAAACAACCCACTCAGCACACATCAGACAAAGGGCTAACTGCCAAGATTTCTAAAGTACTGGCAAAATATACCGACATAAAAACAAGTAACCCTGGGACTAGAAAGCAACACAGCAGGTAAGACTCTTCCCTTGCTATGATTGACCCAGGTTTGATTCCCCCAGCATCACATATGGTCCCCTGAAAGCCACCCAGAGGTGATGCCTGAGCACAGAGCTAGGAGTAATCTCTGAACACATCTGGATATGGCTCAAAACACTCAAGTAATCTCATAACCCCACAGACAAATAGGGATAAGAGCCAAACAGACATTTCCTCAAAAGAGACAAAAGATCGCCAAAAGGTATATATGATTCTTGGCTCTCCATATGGTCCCCCAGGCACTGCCTAGAATAGTTAATGAATATTGCCTGGTGTGTCATGCCCTCCCAATTTTTTTTAATAATGTAAGATTACTGCTATTTGTTCAGCCATTGGTTAAGCTGGTTAAATTGGGCATGAACTCCACATTACTTTTTTTTTTAATTGTATCACCACGAGATAGTTACAAAGCTTTCACATTTGAGATTCAGTCATACAATGACGAAACACCCATCCCTCCACCAGTGCACATTTTTCACCACTCACATCCCAGTCCTCACCCTGCTTCTGTGGCAGACAATTTCTCCAGTACTCTCTCTCTCATTTTGAGCATTATGTCTTGCTCGAAATTTCCCACCATCATTCAAGCCTACATGCCAGGGGCAGACGCTAGATAATTTATTTTCTATTGCTCATTTTGAATATCATGAGAGTTCACATGGCCATGATTATAAATGTAAATTTCTAGATTGTAAATTGTTGGGTTCCAGAGGCATCTCTGTATGGCATTAATCCATTTTGGGATTCAATTGGGAGTCACTGGATGCCCCCAAAATATTTTTAAAAAAAAAAAGCTATAAGAGGGATAACAGGTCTTTCCACTCTCTCTATAATGGGTCTTTCTCCTCCACACTCCTGCTCACAAACTCCAAGGAAGGACAAGGTGAGACAATGGAGTCTCACCTGTGGTTTTACAACAGTCTCTCTTGATGTAATTATGTCCATCATAATGTACTTTAATTTTAATTCTGAAAGCAGCTCAAAAAAACTGCACTGTTTAAAAAAATTATCATGTTATAGCTAAAATACAGAATCAATCTAAGAGGCCAACAATAGGTAAATAGATCATGAAGATGTGATAAATGTATGTGTATATGTATATACACATATGTAATAGAATAATATGCAGCTGTAAGAAAAATGAAACCATGTAATTCCCTGCAACATGGATGGAACTGGAAATTATCATGCTAAATGAAGTAAATCAGACAAAGGACAAATACAGGATGGTCACACTCATATATGGTATGTAGACTACAAGATAATACAATATTTGAAAGGGGGGATGCCTAGATAACCCTGACCCTGGATTATAGGGAGGAGAAAGGCAGAGAAGGAAAGAAATCAATGGGGCGGGGGAAAGAGGTGGGTGGGCAGGAGGAGGGAGCCGTGTTTAAGGGGATCCACACACATGGGTGGCAAACAGGAGTGGGACAGCTAAATATGCATTGAGGACAAAAGATCCAAACCTCAACAACCAAAATCAAAAATCTACCTGTCAAGGTGGCAGGCTAGGGATAAGGGTGGGGCAGGAGGGGAGAAGGGGAGTGGAGGGGAGTGAACACTGATGGCGGGGTTGGTGCTGGAACATAGTATGTCTAAAACCCAATGAGGACTAACCTTATGAATCATGGTTATTTAATAATATTTTAAAAACTGAAAATTATGATACTTGCATAGAATTCAACACTTGCATAGAAAAAAAGCTGATTGTATTTCTATTGTATAGAATTAAAACTCAGAAATACAATCAGCTTTATCAATGGCTGAATAAATAGCAGTACTCCTACATTAAAAAAAAACTCAGAAATAAAGTATTACAAATGAACATAGCATACCAAACTAGCCAAAGGTTTAAAACATAAACAATTCTAAGCACCTTTTTCTGTGTCTGCCTCCCACACAGACTGTGGCCACAGGACTCTGTGTTACGGAGATGAAAGTTTTGGAAAATAAACTTCCTCCTTCCTCTACCTCATAACCAAAGGCCATAAAGGAGCCCACATAGTGGAAAGTGTGACAGAAGGAGTGAACATGTGAAAACAGGTATGAAGCAGCCCCTGGAGTTAGTGAACAGCAGCAATGAAAACAAAAACACTGAATAGATGGTAAGATCACGTGAAACAGAGGTAAAATGTTATCCATTTCTTAGACAAGGGTTATTGTTAGTAACCTCTGGCTGCACCCAATTTGTAAATTAAACTTTATCATAGGGATGTACTTTTAAAGGAAAACCTAGTAGCTGGAGGATTTGTACAATCTCTGATTTCATAAATGCTCTGGGGAGGTTTAGAACACATCCCTTGCAGATATCCAGGGTCACTGTATTTTGTGGGGGTGTTTTGTTTGGTTGGCTTTGGTTTTTGGCCACACCAGGCAATACTGAGAGTTTACTCTTAGCTTCATGCTCAGGGATTACTCCTGGCTGATATTCAGGGAATTGTTATGTGGTGCTGGGGGTCAAATAAAGGTCAACGAAGCAAGCACCTTATGCACCACGGTAGCTCTCCTGCCCCAGAGCACTGCACTTTGGACCAGGACCTCCAGCTCTAGAAAGTCACTCCACAGATATATACATTTCTTTTGCTGATGTTAAATAAATTACAAATACAAACTTAGTAACTTAAAACAAATCCATTATCTCCCAGCTTCTGGGAAGATGGAAGTCTGAATGGGTTCAGTGAGTCTCTTAGGGGTTCACAAGGTCAAAATCATGGTATTAGGCCTCTGTGTTCTCGGTGAAGACCCTGAAGAAGAATCTGCCAGAATCTAATTCCCAAGGGTGCCGTGAATATAAGGTGTCCCCTCCGCTGACCCCTGGGGGATATTACATCCCTCTGTGAAGTTCCCTGGCCTGGGGCCTCACAGCCTCTAGCACTCCAAACCCTTCTTCACTTAAATGACTCTGCCTTCCTCTAAATGTTAAAAGGATCAGCAAAGAGTGTAAGGGACAGAGGTGCTACTCTACTCAGAACAATCTGTCAGTAATCCTAGTCTGACTCAGTGGGTGACCATAAAGCACTGCTGCAAGGGCCAGGAGGATTGGTCCACACTTGGAAACCTGCCTCACTTGCTGGGGAAGAAGGCATTTGGGACAGAGAAGGAACCACAATGACAAAAATAGTTGGAAATGAGCACTTTGGATAAAAATTTTGTGCTTAAAGTGGGTGAGGGAGCAATCATGATAAACTCTCAGTATCTGTGTTGCAAATCATAATGCACAAAAGGAGAGAGAGAGAGAGAGAGAGAGAGAGAGAGGAAGCGGGATGAAGAGAGAGAGAGAGAGAGAGAGAGAGAGAGAGAGGAAGCGGGATGAAGAGAGAGGGAGAGAGAGAGCCTGCCATAGAGGCAGGGTGGGGGAAGAGGGTGGTAGGAGGGAAAGTGGGGACATCGGTGGTGGGAAATGTACAGTAGTGGAGGGACAGGTGTTGGAACACTGTATGACTGAAACCCAACCATGAACAGCTCTCTAACTGTCTTACAGTGATCCAATTTAAAAAAAGAAAAGTACCATTTATGGAACATCACCCAAATCTTCCCAGCTGCCCTCTTTCAGTGGTTGTTGAACTTCAGTTATTTTCCACTGTCTATTAATCTCAATACTACAGAGTTAAAGGATTTGCAGTAGTCTCACTTTGAACTCAATAAAAGAAAAGCTTTTGCTAGCAACCGATGCTGGCGTGGATGTGGCGAGAAAGGGACACTCCTTCACTGTTGGTGGGAATGTCCACTGGTTCAGCCCT